CAAAATATGATGAATAGTCCCTTAAAATAGATAAAGATTATGATGATATCAACAACGATAATAATATTAATAATATAAATAATGATGGTAATAATAATAATAATGATAATGATAATAATGATAATAGTAATGAAACATTTTCTCAGATTTTCTCATATTTTCCTAATTTACTTTAAAGAAACGAACTAATCAGGGACAACTATCTAGGCCCCCTTCCCCCAAACCTTAAAAGTTACACATACACCCCCGCCAACAACTACAAAACAAAAACAAAAACAGAAAAAAGAGTAGATCAGAAGGAAATCAAAATTACCAGCAATAATACTACCTGGAAATCCATTACTGCAGCTGAAAAAATACCTGACCTAATAAAAACAATCAGGACAACTGGAAAAACAAAACAAACAGAACAAAAAACAGAAAAGAAACAACAACATGTGTGAACTATACATACATGATAAATAACAAGCAGGCCTGGTTAAGAAGGAAACGGACCAACGTCTGAAAGCTCTATTCTCTATTAAGCCATGCAAATCTCATGGTTTTGCGTGCTTTAACGTCTGAAGACACCGTTTCCTCTTAAGCCCTGCGTGACACGTAGTTTTGCGCGCTTTTTAACCTTCATTAGCTGCGAGAAGTCGATTGCTGAAGCGTCGAAGGCTTAATAAACCACTAGTCGCACCACTGTTCGTTTCTGCCGTTGCGCATCTTTATTTCCTCGAGCGCTCAAAAAGTCGCCAGCTGTAAAGGCTAGTGGGGACCCTTGTTACTTTTTGATGTCACAGCGTTTCGAATTTTCGTTATCTTTACTGATTCCGACTAATTGACCCCGAGACTCCACATGAGCGGTTGTGTCGGAGTAGTTGTGAAAAAGGGCCTTGACTCTTTGTTAACAAAGCTGACAGGAAGTATTTTGCGTATAAGATATGAGCATATAGGGCTTTTCCGCACTAGCAGAGTTGAGGAAAGGCTTATTACGTACACTGAAATTTCCGCGGTTTCGTTAAATTTCAATGTAGAGGAAGTGACGTTTGAGGAGGCAACTTCCGGCAACTTCCATTGATTCGTTTCAAACAAAAATCTGTTTGTGAAAATAGAATTGTTAGACCGCATGATTTGGTAACTAGTGTAAAAAAGAAAAAAAGACATACATTTGGTGGGAAATGTAGAGAAAAGGAGGATGGAAAGACAGAATATTAAAAAAATAACAGTGAAAATAAAAGAGCGGGAGTTAGGAAGAGAAATTTTCTTGAATGGTTCTCAGAAGACACGAAATTTCCCGGTCAGCGGCTACTGTATGCAAATCATGTGATCATGTCAACTCAGAGGAAGTGAAGTCTGCAGTCCACTTATATTGTTTTTATCACAAAAGACGAGCAATACTATACGGGGAAACGCTATTGAAATCGCAACAAATGATAACTGGAAACTTGATTGTCTGGTGCTCCCGCTAGAATGAATGTGAAGGAGAAGGCCAAGGCGTTCGAAGGTACACTGTGTGAATTATTTCAGCGCGATGTTGTGTGTGATCGGTTGATTTAGAAATAACTGGAATATTTGGGGGTGTTCCATGATGAGTTTACTTTACTAGTCTCTTAAACACTCAGAGTTTATTTGAAAATGTTTAAGTTTATTCAAGATCAGAATACACCACGGCACAAACGTGGTTTTCGATGACAAGTTTAAGCGTGCGAAAAGTATTGTTTTGGGCATTTCCGTCTTTGGAATCAACATGTCGTCGTATTGTCGAAGTGATGTAGAGATCGAGTTTCGTTGCAATAAATCTTTCCTTTGGAAGGATGTAGATTCTTATTCTCGACATTTGTTCCTCTGTTTTGCAAAAGGACGTTCCTCTGTGATTGGAGAAAGCCCGCCACCGAAAAAGAAAAGCCGCGAAGAACGCATCGGTAAGACATGAGCTTAATGTACTCACTGTGATAACACGCTTAGAAGGGTCCATTCATAATAAGATCACCAAGAGCGGTTTCTGATCCTCTCCATTTTATGCTGTTTAGTTTTATTTCAGCAACGATTTTTCGCCCATTTCCTGAATCGGTTTGATTTCCGCACAATTCGATTACGTATTCCTAGAAGGAAAAGGGATTGCCGGTCTCAAGAGATAGTCTGATTGACAGTTGAAACGATAAAGATTGATATCAAGTCCCACGGTCGCAAATCAATCGAGTTATCCAAATGCTTCACGACAATGTAATTGACCCTCATGCTCACAACATGTTGCGCTTTTACAGATAAACTCTTAAAACAATATTTTGTTTATTTCTATCATAAACATCATGTTTAGATCAACTTGTGTTTACTCCATGAAATATGACAGAAGCCCAACAATGCATAATGAGATGTGTCTATTGAAGCTTCTTTGTAGAAAGACATCTGTTATGCTAGCAGGTGCAATGACCATGTCATTGTCAGTAATATTCTGAAGCTTTACAGGCATGGAGTGTCTATTTGTCTCAAAACTGTTGAAATTTTTGATTAAAAAAAACATTACTATGTATGGTATGATGTGTTAGTGTGTAATATTCATTAAGCAAGCCTCTCTTGAAGGCTTCATTGGCAAATTTTATTTCATTGGTGTTAAATGATAAAAATAAAATAATAAAAAGAAAAATGAAGACTTTACTAACACTACTTTTTTAAAGAATGTGTGGTCACAATTCAAGTCACTACTAAATGTGATGTAACCTTTTCAAGGCTGTTCACTTCCTAAAAAGAAACAACAGTGCGTTACACTCTCACACCCAAGATCTCATAAGTAATTCTCCTTACTGTCTACCATACAGTTCTTATCATGTTAGTGTGAAGAATTTGGTGTTGGATCAACTACTTGTTATTATCCTCTTATTGATTTTTTTCTTTATTCCCATTACCTACCTGCTTGATATTGTATTGATGATGTAATGATGTCACTCATGAGAATTAAAGGAGCAATAGGAGATTGTTTTGTTCTTGTACATTGGACATGATTTTGGCATGGGATTTTGTATGCCATTAAAAGTTGTGAACCCTCTTGTGTTTTTGAATTTTTTAATGTCTGTCTGTGGAGGTGTATGTTGGGGTAGATTTGACTTTTAAAAAATTTTTAATCCCTTAAAAATTGCTCACATCTTATTTCTTCGTGTAATTTCACTTCTGAATCTAACCTTAGGGTCACAAGAATAGAGAAATTTATCTCCAACTAAAAAGTTCATGATTGTTAACCCTTTAAATCCCAGATCAAATTTGTAATTCTCTTTACCGTCAACCATACAATTCTTGTGATGTTAGTTCAGAGAATTTAGTATTAGATCAACAAGTTATCCCCAAATTGATATTTTTCTTTATTCTCATCACTTATCAGGTTGATATGGTATTGATATTGTAAGGAGAAATTCTGTCTTGGTCACTGTCACTGAAAGAAAAACTTTGTTTGGTAATCTGGACAAGCTTAACTCTAGCACAGGCATCTCCAAAAGGGAACATTTTTTTCAGTGCAGTTGTTTCATAGTTACAGGATAATAGGCCATTTTACAGTTATGTACTTAGTTGCCAGGCCTTTGATTTGGAGTGAGGCTGAAGGTGACCTTGTTGTCATAGAGACCTGTATCTAGTTAGCATGATAACAAAGTAATTTGCATTTGAAAAGCAGCAAGGTTTGTATCATCACAAGGTCACCCTTAGCCTCATTCCTGTTCAAAGGCTTGGCAACCAAGCACACAACTGTAAAATGACTATTAAGAGGAATTTAATAGTTCTTTATTTACATGACTTGTATCTAAAAATTGTTTTTGTTTCTCAATGGTTTTTCACAGGTGGCAGTGGCAACGACGACCTGGAAAGGTGAGTTCAAGTAGATTACAACTTGCAAATGGTCACCTTTTCCTCTTATCCTTTTTTGAATTCTGCAAGATATGAATAGTGTACTGTTCACAGGGCTGTGCTCCAAGAAAAAATTAAAGGGAGCCCATTTCTCTGAAATTGTGAAAATCAGGGTGCCAAGCACATGCTTTTTATGAAAAAACTAATATTTTCCGAGTTGCCCTAGAGTGAATACAGGTGTGAGGGACTACCAGATGCCGCAAGAGCACAGTCCTGTGTTCTGGTCCATAGAAACAGGTTTGTTAGCATGAGCATGGTCATAGGAGTCTGAGGAGTTTTCTATGAGAGTCTCCTCTTACTCATATGTGCCTAAAAGGGAGTTGAGGAAACTCTCTTTTGTTGCTAGAAGCTCTATAATATTTGCTGGAATCAAACAGTCATTTGCTCTCAGTAAAATCACCACAACTCTAATTACAAGCTGCTCAGTGTAATATCCAAGATTTCACCATCAAAAATGTCACTTTAATTACATTCCTCCTTTTTATGCAGAGAATCATCATCTGAAACTCCTGAACCACCACCTAGAAAATCCAAAAAGAATGGCAAAATAAAATCATCTGAAGAATACAGTCCAAGTTTAGAAAGAAAAGAAAATATTCCAACAAGTGTCAAGGACACCAAGGGGCGTCAAAAACCCCCAAGACCTCCTCCACCCCCAAGGGGAAGTTCTTTGGGACGTAAGAGTGAATTGTTGTCAAATTTGCGATTACAGTCATCAGGAGAGAAAAAGAAAAAACCTCCTGTCCCTCCAAAACCCAAGAATCACATTCCTAAGAAAGCTTATGTGAAAAAGAACATTAGTGTCAAAAGTGTGAAAAAAATTGTTAGTCAGCCAGCAAAGGATGGATCTGTTTTGGTGCCAAAGTCTTCCACAAACAGTGCACACGAATCACAGTTTTTCGCCCCACTAGATAAAGACACTTCTAAGGTGGCATCATCTGAAAATCACGAGTCAAAAAGATCTTCACAGTTTTTTGTCTCTTTGGAAGAACAAACTTCTAGTAAAGACAGCCTAAATACTAAGGAGTTAGACAATTCAAAAGGACATATTGTGTTTGAGTATGCTTCAGAAGATAGTGAATTCAGTAATGTTGAAAATGGCTTTGTGGGTAGTAACGGCATTCATGAGAATGGGGTAGCTTCTAGGCCTCTTGTTATTCAACCTGGGAACATAAATTTTGAAAAGGACATGGCAGATCCTCTGGAAGGTCTTGAAATAACTGTTGATGATATTAGTGACGATGATGACATTTCTTCAATGCCACCCGAGGGAAAGAATGAAGTTGGGGAATTTTCTGAGCCTATGGAGGTCAGTGTGGATGATGCTTCAAATGACGGAGTTTGCAATGAATTTCAACCAGTTGATGGTGTAGAAGAACCAGAAGATAAAGTTCATATATTATACAGTGTTGAGCTCGAGGAAGAATGTTCTGTCACTGTAATAGAAAATAATACGAGGAGTGATGAAAAAGGAACAAAAATGCTGGAAGTACAAGGAGGGATTAGAGCAGAAAACAATGAAGTTATAGAAGTCGGTAAAGGTGAATCAATTGCCAGCAACCTTCTTTCAGAAAATTTGGTTGGGGAGAATGCTTCACTAACCTCTGATGAGGTAGAAAAAGACAAAATGGAAGAAGAAATTAGTGTGGTTAATTTTTTCAATCATCAAGAGGAAATGGCGTCTAATTTTGAAGCTGAAGAGCGAGTGGACAGTGTTTTGGAAAATCTAAGTGAAGATTCAGAAGAAATTCTTATGAAGGAAGATTCTCCAGTTGATGAAGTACAAGAACTGTCAGTTAACCAGAATGTTAAGTGTGAAACTGAATTAGAGAGTTCACAGATTTGTGTAGATTCAACAGGACAAAACAAAGTTGAAAATGTAACTGATAAGAGCCATGAAGCAGCTATGGAAGAAGCACAGCAAAATGAATCTCAACAAAATGGCGAGGTGATTATGGCTGAACCGATAAGAGAAGGTACTTTGTTATCAGTTACTGATCGTGTCATTTTCAAGGAAATTTCACATGTGGATGAAGATAAAAATAATTCGGAGGAACCTGCTGAAGAAAAATTAGAAGATGTTAGGAATGAAGATCACTCAGGGTTTAAGGGTCAACATGAAAATGAAGGATTTATGGAGAAAAATGAACTTGAGTTTGTTTCAACTAAACCAGAGGAATTGGAATCCTGCCAAGACATGGCAGTAGAATTGGACAAAACTGAACAATTTGGAGAACAGTTGCTTGGGAATTCAATTCCTGAAAATTTTTGTCAAGAAGAGAGAAAGATGGAATTTGCGTGTACTAGTGGCAATGAGGAGGAACCTAAAGTAGAAGAAGATGTATCAAGTTTAAAAAACACTGAGGGTTTGATACAGAAGGAGAGTGATGATCAGGATGAAAGCCCCGTCATTCCTGATTCTATAGAAGATGATCTAGATACTGTGTCATCTGAATTTGTTAATGTGGAGCAAGCTGCTTCACAGGAAAATGTTGAGGCTGTGCTATTTGAGATGAAGGAAGATCAGGATAAAAGCACTGTCAATGCCATCCCTAATTTGAAAGAAGATATAGAAACTGCTTCATCTGAATTTGTCGATGTGGAGCAACCTCCTTCAAAGGCCAACAAGGAAGTTGTGCAAGTTGAAGTAGAGGAGGTTGAGAGTTCATGCATTGTTAATGCCATCTCTGTTTCTACAGAAGAAGATCTAGAAACTGCTCCATCTGAATTTGTTGATGTGGAGCAACCTCCTTCACAGGCCAACAAAAAGGTAATGCAAGGTGAAGTAGAAGAGGGTGATAATGTGAGCATTGTGAATACCATCTCTATTTCTAGAGAAGAAGATCTAGAAACTGCTTCATCTGAATTTGTTGATGTGAAGCAACCTCCTTCACAGGCCAATAAAGAGATTGTGCAAGTTGAAGTAGAAGAGGGTGAGAATGTGTGCATTGTGAATGCCATCTCTATTTCTACAGTGGAAGATCCAGAAACTGCTTCATCTGAATTTGCCAATGTGGAGCAACCACCAACGCAGGAAAATGTAGATGGCAACAATTCACTTTCTCCAGAGTCTCAGCCAGTTCCCCCAGAGAGACGAAGTCGCAAGGCTAAGAAACAAAAGCATGTTTATGAAAATATTGCTGCAACTTCAAGACAACTTGAGCAGATTAAAATTAAGGGAGACTCCCTGAGAAAAACTCAGTCCTTCAGCAAATATGAAACAGCTTCTCTCTCAATATCACGCCCTGTTCAGCGCGTGTCTGATGATGAGGTTATTTACAGAGTTCCTGCTAAGGTCATTCCAGTTGAAAGTTTTGGAACTGATGAATCCGAGTACAGTGTTCCACTTCCCATTTCATCTCGAGCACGCAGTGTCACTATGCAAGATGAGTATGCAGTGCCCAAGTCAATCATAGTAAAAGCATGTGCAGTAACAGATAGTCATGGTGCTGATGACAGAGAAATATATTCTGTTCCTGGTCAAGTAACACCTGTACCTGTGGTTGAAAAATTCTCTGATTCTTCAAGTAGACTTCCCTCTCAGGCAGTTCCACAGGAGGATGATGATAGTGAATATGCTGTGCCTGTTCAGGCAAAGCCAGTGATGTCAGCTCCTGTGTCAGCCACTCCACCTCCAAAACCTCCAAGAACAAGCTTATTAAAAGAAGAGTTTAATGTCTTTGCAAGTGTGGAGGAGACATCCAGTTCAGCAAGCACAGAGACAGAAACAAGGCAATCACCAAAACCAGTCCCAAGGACGAGAGAGCTGAAGAATTCACCGACTCCTGTACCAAGGAAGAGCTCAAAGACTGCTGCATCATCAGAATCATCAACAACCCACAGCAGTGAAAACTCTCCAAGTCCTGTACCAAGGAAGAACTCCAAGCTTGTCATGTCAACAGACTCATCTTCAACTAATAGTGGTGATAACTCACCAACTCCTGTACCAAGGAAAAGCTTGAAAATCGCTTCATCAACAGAGTCTACTTCAACTCAAAGTAGTGATTCTCCGGTTCCTGTACCTCGTACTCGTCTGAATGCTCTTCAGCCTGAACCTTCCATCTCAAATGAATCTTCATCAGAGCTCTCTACATTGTCATCTTCTGACATCTCTACGGTGGAGACCACGGAGGAGGAACAAACCTTGAAACGCAAACCTCCACCACGCCCACCTCCTCCAAGCAGCCGCACAAGCATCATAAACAACGAAAATGAAGCCCCTCCCCTGACACCAGGGCCGTTTGCAAACGAGGCCGATTCTGATACGGATTCTGATGTTGGAGAAGAGGCATCATCAAAGGTAATTATTAAATAAATCCTTTACATCCTAACATTGATATCAATATTCTCCATACCCCCTCTTTGCATTTCCTTTGGTACTGACAAGGAGAATTTGTTGATCAATCCAAGCCTTTTTGGTTGGTGATCGTCTCCTTTATTCTCACAATCTTAATGAATAATTCAAATGTGATATTGCATGGAGAAATTAGATACTGGTCACTCTTGACTATTTTAACCCTAAGGGAGACCAGCATCTAATTTCTCCTCAAATTTATTTACCCTAATATTTATCGCATCATTGCTATCTTATCTTTTGTTTAATGTTTATAATTACCATGATTACTTCTGTAGGGTCCATCAAAGTCAAAGACATACTACATTGCACATGAAATTCTCTCAACTGAGCAGACGTTTGTGGATGCTTTAAAACTTGTCTTTGAGGTAAAGGAAAAAAGGGAGAGGGAGATTCTTTTGATTAGTATTGGTATCTATTGATCAGTATTGGTATCAGAGGAATTGCATGGGCACGGGCACGGGCACAAACCCCTCCCCTAACCCAACATTTATTCTAACTTGGATAAGGGGAGGGGTAGGTGTGCAGTTTCTCAGATACTGGCATTGATCTAATAATTTTAAGCATGTGTGGTAACATTTTTTGTAGCAGGAAAGCTGGTGCCATGTTTTTTGCAGCTATGTATAATGTAAAGTA